CATTATGAGAGGTTTTCGGAACATTCCGTTGGGAAGGACTGATTAAACGCTGAACATGGACACTGCTAATGTCATTTGCGGTTTGCCGATGATATTCTGATCTTCTTAAGTCACTAGAAGAATTCCAAACAAGAATCAAGCGAGGTGAACGACGCCGGCATCAAAGTAGAACTGAAAATGAACCTAAAGTAGAGTCAGTTGATTTTCAGCCAGTAGGTGACTGCGCGACCTGTTGAAGTCAACCAAATTAGGCTTGAAGAAGGGCAAAATTATGTTTCTTTGTGGCAGCTAATCTCTGCTTCGGAGAACCGACTCTATGAAGTCAGCCGAAAAACAATAATTGTATAAAATACTTTTGGAACCTTCAAAATGTTCCTCTCAGGGAAACTGTTTTATGTTTGAAGCGGAAGGTATTCGACCTGTATATGTTCCCAGTGCTAGCGTATGGATATATGCCCGGGACATTAAACCTGAAAGCTGTTCAAGAACTGCAGACTACGCAGAACAGTATGGCAAAACCTCTTTCAGGATTTACAAGAAACGATAGGACAATGAGTGAACAGGCAGGGCACAAACTAGAGTGTGCGATTTCATCACCCCTGTGAAGAAGCTACGGTTAGTATGTTGCAAGAAAAACCGACTATCTCTTAACCTGCGAAGCATTAGTCTAGGTTCCAAGAGAGAGCAAACATGCCCAACGAAGGCCTACAGATCAATGGTAGGGTCAGTTGAGGTTCGCGGAAGCAAGATGGAGAAAGTGGCAGGAAACAGAAGTCTGTGTCGAAGTCTTGGAGAAACTTTCATATGGCAGCATCCTGTAGAGAATCAGTAAAGGTTGATGGTGACAGTTCCTTCTCAAAATAAGATTTCCAACATATGCAGGTTGTATGAAAACTGAAACAGGGGAACAGTTGAGGGGGGGGGGCGATGGGCAAATGAAATAGGAAGGGTAGGAGAAGAATAGAATATGGAAAATTATGTGGCTGATATCTTTAGTAATAAATATCAGGGACACGAAATTCAGGTAGATGATTAATTGAATAACACAGTCGGCGGAAATGGCTTTGATGAAGTTGAATCACGTCTTAATAGATCGCTGTCCCGGTGTAAAACTTGCACTTTCATGCTATTGATGGAATGTGTCCTTGCCGCAGCTGCATGTTTTGCGATTGCAATGTGCTCTCCTTTGCCACTAGTTAAAGCCGCAATATGCTCTTTCATTTATGCTTTTATCCGCTGCTTAGTCATATTAATATCTAAGTGCTGCGATATTGGCAGTGCGTATTCAAACCAGCTCTTGTCCAGGTCGCTTTCCATTTAAGGCACTTTGTAGGGTAATGTTTCTTTTTACTACATACTTTGAATCGGATGTGATTTAGGTAATATCTAAAGAATGGGAAAGGAATCTTGTCAAAAGAAATGACAGTTATGTTACAGGGTGGGAGGGGGTGAAGAGGGGGTGGGAGCAGGCTGTAGGAATGGCAAGTGGTGAAATAAAAGTCACCATAGCTGTTTTTCTGTAATAAGTTGTAGCACGCCTTCGCGTGTTGTTGACAATATTTTTTAGACGGAATAGGGTGTATGAAACAGCTGTGATTCTGTTCCTTGCAGTAAACACTGAACAAAAAGTTTTATTGGGTGTTCTCTAAGTCATGGTGGCAGTAAATGGTATAGGTTGTTTTAGTTTTCATTCAAGAGGGAATAGAATTGGTTTATCAACATCATCGTTATTAGAGAAACGAAGCAAACACTCGATTGTTTATGTGATTTAAAAGGGGGAAAATCTCGACTCTGTGCCTGCTATAGAAAATAGATTTTGTATCAGTTAAACAGATGTTTTGAGTATGCAAAGTTCTGAAAGAATTTGTGAGAATCTCTATTCAGTGGCTGTGTTGTCATGGAAGTCAGTTGGCTGTAGTGAATTGTTTTTGACTTGTTCGAATTGGTGTTCGTGCTTCTGTCATCATCGTTCGCCCGATGAGCATGTTATAGCCTGTGACGATGATGCAAGATCCGACTGGGCCTTGGCGCTCGCAGCCGGTTCGAAGAGTTTCAAGATCGACTTTCCTGGCAGTGTGCTACTCGGCATTCAGACGATTGCCGAGGCGGTGCGCCACTTTCTTGACCACCGCTTCACGGTGCACTACGTTCGAACGTTGATACTCTGTTTTCAACTTGCCGTGCTGCTCGGCATCTACAAGGGCTCTCTGGCGTTGTCCGGCATTCTTCTTAATGCTTGCGACAAACACGTGCTGCTGCAGGTCGTCACGCTTTGCCTACGTTACCTGCAACTGATCGACGAGGAAAACACAGTCGTATGTAAGGTACTTTCTTGTGATACGGAGGAGTGTGCATCGCGGTTCAAAGGCGGCGGTTCGTTGATCGGTCGTCGACTGACGGCTTTTCACTTTTCACTTTTACTTTTCACTGGATTTTTTAGACTGAAACTAAACACGATGGCTTTCGCTGCTGTTGGAACTGCCTGGTTTGCATGGAAACGCTGTATCTTGTTCAGAGTTCAGCCGACGATGCGGCGAATTTCGATCTGAACCGAGCGGTGGCGTCGTTATGGCATCGTTTATATGACGAGGTGAGCAATTGGGCAATTTACCTGCTTGAATTATGTTCACACCACATGTGCGTACGTAGCCGAAAATGTCGTGTCGAAAATTCAACTTCAGTTACTCCTGCTTTCATCTCAAGTAAATAAACTGAAAGAGAATTATATAATAAATAACGAAAAGTCATAACGAAACTGAATTTCATGTGGCATGAAAATGATTTAATCAGTGCAAACGAGTCAGTCTCTGGGATGAAGGTTTGTGGCGACTATTCTGATTCACGTCTTGTGCGTCGCTTTGAGCAGTACGTTGAGCTCGGTGTCCGTGCTGTTACTTTAGTTGTTTGTCAAGCACGTGTGCTACGAGACTCGTCGAATTCGCACAGAGTTCGTGTGCCTGAGACTGGACAGTTCCCGACGATTGATGCCTCTTTGACACTATTCATATATGCCTGTTCGACAGATGTATTTCGTTTATTTCGGATAACATTGTAACGGGTTAAGTTTATTACAGCTTTTATGCTGCGTTAATTCTGGTGGCTTTCGTAGCTTTCCGCTGTTTTCTTGATTCATAGTTAGGAAACCCAAACATAAAGCAGAGATGAAAGGTTTTACTAACTGCCTATACGTTTCTTTGCCATCACCGGGCTGAGTAAACGAAAAACTCAAATCTACGTTATTGGCACAAAGTATTAATACCATTATCCCGATCGATAGTTGTATGTCTCTTAGTTGGTGAATGATCTTTTTCGTTACAGATTACTTACTGTGTTCCAACTT